CAAAACTTGTTCTCATTCTCCTGTTAAACATTACTTCATACGGTGTACGACCAGTTGAATTTCTGGGTGTATTTCTATATGCTCGCAAAAAGGCGTTTAAACGTTTATATAAATCAATGCTCTTATCGGCTGCTAATATATGTTCCTTGAACGTACGTACAGCTCGTTCAGCTAAACCATTTGTTTTGGGGTGATATGGTGTTGTTTTGATATGTGTTGTTCCGATACGATTGCAGTACTTTTTAAATTCTTCTGAAATAAACTGTGGTCCGTTGTCTGTTACTATATACTTAGGTATACCGAAAGTTGAAAATACGCCATCTAGTTTTGTTATAGTCGCCAAGGATGTTGCCGATTTCATAGGAATAACTTCTTACCATTTCGAATAAGCATCTATGATAATAATCCACATGTATCCAAGCAAGGGGCCAGCAAAGTCGATATGTAGTCTATACCAAGGTTCAGGTGGTACTCCCCAAGAGTAGATTGGTGCTCTGTTGGTATTTTGTTTAGTGGTTTGACATAAGGAACACCGTCGTGTATAATCTAGTATGTCCTTATGAATGTTCGGCCAGTATACATGCAATCGTGCTAATGATTGCATCGCATTAACCCCAGAATGGCCAACGTGTAGCATATGTAAAATCTGTTTGTGTAAACTTTTTGGTATACACAGCCTTCCGTTCCATAGGAGAAATCCTTCTTCTACTGATAACTCGTCTCGTTTTTCATAATATGTATAGAAATCCTCGTGCAACTCTTTTTTTTCTGGCCAATGAGTATTTAAAAATTCTGTTATTTTGTTCAGGATTGTATCTTTTTTTACTTCCTGCTTAAGAGTATGTCGTGTAATAGGAATATTTTCCAATCGTAGGTGAAGCAAATGAGCAAATTGTGGCAATCCTGTTCTCTCTTCTAGTGTGTTATTTGTTACTGTTTGTAGTGGTAGTCGGGAAAGTGCATCCGCTGGTGTATTTAAGAATCATAGCCCATCTCAAAAGTCTGTTACTTGCAATTTTGGGCGTTTCACGTTCTTGACTAAATATTCTTTCTAATGGCTTTTGATCTGTTAGTAATGTAAACTTTCTACCGTAGACTTACTGATGAAATTTTGTAACTGCGTAAATTATACCTAATGCTTCTTTGTCAATCGTTGAATAGTGTCGTTCCACTTCAGACAACGTTCTGGATGCATATGCAATAGATTTCATGTTTGCTTCATATTTATGAAATAATACAGCTCCTAGCCCTTTATCAGAGGCATCACTGCTAAGATAAATTGGTATAGAATCATCGTAATGGGCTAAAGTGTCGTTCGATGTTAGAATATGCTTTAACTCGTCGACAATTTGGTCATCTTCTTTGTTCCATTGCCATTTTTGTCCCTTTTTTAGGAGTCTATACAGCGGTGTACATTTTACATGTAATTTGTTGATGAACCGTCCATAGTATGTAATTGAACCTAAAAAAGATCTTAATTCTGCAACGTTTGTTGGAATAGGCATGTTTTTGATCGCTTCAATTCTCTCTGTGGTGGGGTGTAATCCATCTTTATCGATTTGGTGTCCAAGGAAAGTTACGTTCTTTTGGAGCCACGAACACTTTGTTGCTTGACTCTTAATGCCAGCCGTTTCTAATCTTTGTAAAACTGTTTTAACTCTAGCTATATGTTCGGATAAATGGCTCCCGGTAATTAAGATATCATCGAGGTAGCATACCACGCCGTCGAGGCCGCATAGTATTTGATGCATAATTCGCTGAAAAACAGATGGTGCGAATGATATACCGAATGGTAGACGTTTGTATCGAAAATATCCTTTGTGTGTAGATATCGTAAGGTACTTTCTGGAATCTGGGTGTACTGTCAATTGTAAGTAGGCATCTTTCAAATCTATTTTTGTAAATAACTGTCCTCCAGCTAGTTTAGACGTTATTTCTTCGAATCGTGGTAGTGGGTAATCGTCAACTTGGACATGTCTATTTATAGTGACTTTAAAATCTGCACAAATTCGTATATTCCCGTTTGCTTTGATTGCTATTACTATTGGTGATGCCCATTCAATAGGTGTATTCTATAGGTTCTATGACACCTTCTTGTGTTAATCTCTCCAATTCTGTTGTAACCTGTTCTCTAAGTGCCAATGGTACAGGTCGTGGTCGAAATGCTTTCGGTTTGACATCATCTGGTATATAAATTTTCGCGTAATGACCTCTTATCGTCCCAAGACCATTGCCGAATAGGGACTTAAACTCGTCGAGAAGCTTTTTAATCTCTTTGTGATTGGGATCTTCGTTCAAATCGTTATGAATGTTACATAGCTTAGCTCCAGCTGGCATAGGTAAGTTGAATTCCAAACACCATTGTAAGCCAAACAAAGGAATATCATTATGTTCTGTTACGTAAGCTTCTATTGTTTTGATTTGCTTAAATGCTTTCACAGTTATTTTGCAGGTACCAAGGGTTTTAATTTTGATGTCAGTGTATGCAATCAAATCCTGACATTCTTGCAATTGTGGTCTACCTATTGTCTCCCATAATGTTTTACCGATGACTGTTAAGTTCAACTGGTAACATTATTTTTGTTCCTTTTCTATATTTAAGGTTGAATGTATGTGTGCTTTCAGTATCGGATGGTGTATTATGATGATCAGTCATCTCTCTTTGCACAAATCTAGTTTTAAAATATCTTGGTTTTGCTCTACCGGTGGTGATACAAACACTTGAAAAATGGTTTTGTTTACCACAAGCGTTACACTGTTTTCCTCTTGCAGGGCACTCATTCATGTGAGTATGAAAATTGTTACCACAGAATACGAGGGTCAAACTGAAAGTTCTTAGAAAATCAAAAACTGATTACATTAGCCAGTTATTAGTTTTATTATATCTTTTCAAAATATTGTCCATTCACGTCAATACACCGCTGCATGCGATGGAACCACTGGGAAAAGCACTTTGCCCACTCGTCCTTAGGGGTCTCTTCAATGGCATCGCGATACGCAGCCACCGCTTCTTCAGCATTCATAAACCGCTTTCCTTTAAGTTTTTCTTTAATTTTTGGAAATAAATAAAAATCACAAGGCGCGAGGTCGGGGCTATACGGCGGGTGACCCAGTATTCAACGTTTGATGTCGCCAAATAGTCGATCGTTCGCTTGGCGGTGTGCGACGAGGCGTTGTCGTGGTGAAGGAGGATCCTACTGCGAGGTCGTTTCTCTCGAACTTTTTCCAAGACAAGTGGCAAACAATTGGTAGTGTACCATTCTGCAGAAACTGTTTTTTGATCCTCTAACACAATTGTTGCAAAATGACCTATCCTTCCAAAGAACGAGGCCACCATTTTTTTTCCCGCACTTCGATCTCTCTTCACTTTAGTTGGCAACTCCTCGAAAGGAAACACCCACTGAGCAGATTGTCTTTTGGTTTTAGGATCATAACAGTAAATCCAGCTTTCGTCACCTGTTAGTATGTCGAACACAGCATTTGAGTCACCTCCGTTAAATCTTTCAATCATTTTACGACACCAATCCACACGATGGAGTTTTTGAGCCTCAGTCAAAGTATGAGGTATCCACCGGGCGCAAAGCTTCCTGACCGCTAAATGTTCGTGGAGGATTTTGTGCACTTGACTCATACCGATGCCTAAGCTTGTCCGAATCTGTTGATAGGTCACTCTTTTGTCAGTCTCTATCATACGCCGCACAACACAGATGTTATCTTCAGTCGTCGCCGTAGAAGGCCGTCCCTCACGTAAATCATCAGTGAGATTAGTGCGACCACGTTTAAACTCATTAAACCAGTTGTAAACAGTCGCACGAGATGGGGCTTCATCGTGAAAGGCCAATCGTAGTCTATCATAACTTTCTTGTTGACTTAAATGACATCGAAAGTCATAAAAAATCATTGCACGAAAATTTTCTCGTGTTAAATTCATGATGACGTGACACAGACAATTTTCAATTTGCCGCCAAATCGTAAAACAAATGACAAATGAATGAAATATATACTCAGTAATATTGGCAAAGAGTTATATTTTCAAATTTTAGAATTATTTTTTTATTATATTGTTTATAAGTGGCCAGTTCTAAGAACTTTCAGTTTGACCCTCGTATGCACTTCTTTGTTATTTGAGAACTTTTATTTTTTATGTTAATGTTATGTTTGTGATATCTTTCTTCTGTTACTTTGAATGCTGTCAAATCATTAGCGTTGTTCAATTGTTTATCATGACTTTGAGCTATTTCTTTTGACTGTATTTCAGCCTGTTCCAATTTTTGTGCTGAGGCAATTACATCTGATAATTTGCTATTATTTGTTGAGTGCTCTCTAATAAGTTCTTGTTGCCAGGTGATATTGTTAATTCCGATTACCAATTGGTCTCTGATTCTTTCGTCGATAGTACTTCCAAACTCGCAATAACCAGCAAGTGCGCGTAATTCCATTACAAATTCAGAAATGGTGCTATGTTGGTTTCTAACTTTAGTTGAAAATTTTACTCGTTCTGACAGAATGTATGTTTTTTTACCATAATAATCGTTGAGTACAGTCGTAAGTTCATTATATGTTTTCGTTGTGATTGAGTCTGGGCGAAAGAAATCTACGAGTACCTTGAATGCTGTTGGTCCAACTCGAGATAATAGTAAATTTTTCCGTTTCTTTTGTATCGTATCGGAAACGTCATCTAATCCATGTAGTGATAATTCTATTTCAAATCTTTGGAGATAATATTCCCATTCTTCCGTTGCTGGGTTAAATAGATCGAATTGAAAACGTTCCATTAAACTCGTCGCCATTTATGTTGAATAAATAAAAAAATACTTTAAATTAAATAAGATTGTATTTTCCATGTCATTGGTAACAAGGATAACAATGTCATAGCAACACACTTAGACGGCATCATAGTATAGAGTATGGCATAGATTATACTACAGTTACGAGCACTTATAAACAACGCCATCGATCGGTTTGCAAATCTGCGGCGGAATGCCACTTATCGAGAACAACTAGCTGGACTAGGGCAGCTTTTTCCTACTTTAAATTTTTATGACAACAGAACGAAACAACAAACACAACACAAGATCTTTACGATAGTAGTAGAGAATAAATGAAATGATAATAGACGTGTAAATTAATTATTTTATTTATAATAACATTATATACAAATGCAAAACGAATGTTCTATCTCAGTTCACTCTTCTTGATGGAGAGTGAACAATTTCGCCACTTCAAACAGGTCTTCGAACTCTCCCTGCTGCAAGACCTGAATCAAACAAAGACACATATGTAATAATCAAAGTAAGTTTATTTATTTATTGTATTATAGTAGCTGTCATTTTTATTATTAATTGAACATATGACTTTATCAATATTATTGCAATTGCTTTTTTGACTTGTATGAATTTGAATTCGCATGGTCATGAAAGATGTATTATGAGCCAGGGCGATGGAGTATTCTCTATCCTATAATTGAGTAATAAAAAATAACTATTTTTTTCTATACACATAACTAATTTTTTTACCATTCTTAGTACGAGTATAACACATTCGATTTTTATCATTGTAATCGTTTTTCTTTCAAATACAGCGAAAATAAGAGCATCATCCGAAAAAAGCTTTGCGGCGCTCTCTTTCTTACTATCTGTATTTCAAATTGGGTAAATATAGCTTTTTGTTGTAGTGTGGTGTCTTCAGAGTTGATCAAGACAATTTAATTATAATATCACGGGCATCAATAAAATTAATAATTTAGAAGCAGCTCCGTGGCGCAGTGGGTGAGTGCAATCGTCGCTAACTTTCAATAGGGTCGGTCAAGGGGTGGGTGACCAAAAAATTATTATTTCGAGCTACTTTACGTGCCTACGGGGTTTACGTGCCTCAAAAGGCACATGAACCCGTTGATGGCGGCTGCATTGGCAGACGTTAAACCCTCCAATCCGTATTGGGCCAGCATGGCATGTTAAGGCCCGTCCTCTTTAACTTAGCACGTGTTAAAGTGCGAACCTCAATTTTTTTTAGTCGGTAATATACCTAAAGCCAAATAGAAAGATATTTTTTATTTGTTCTGTGTGTTAAAGTCAAAGTCAAAATAATCTTTATTCGAATAGACTTATTAAAAGTACTTTTGAATCGTCCAACATTTTTTTCCCTACCACTCGGTTAGGACGTCTTTTGGCTGATAAGAAGAACGAGCAAGAAACTCACCAGATCTAATGAGAGTAATGACATTTACATAAACCATGTCATTACCAGATCAATACATTATAAACAGAGATAGAAAAAAAAACTATGGTCTTATAATGTTAACATAATCATTTAATAATAATGGAAACAAGGTAATGAGTTTAGAAGTAATCACCTATCCAGTTGCTGGATCATCTCAAGTCCAAGGGTTCTTATCTGTTATATAATCGGATACCTTATAATAAGCTTTTTTAATAAGTATTGTTTAATAGTAAATTTAAACTGCATGATATCTAATTGTTGTATTTTGCTTGGGACCTTATTGTAGAAGCGCACACAAAGACCCTTGAAAGAGTTACTAACTTTTTGCAGTCTAGTGACAGGCATCGTTAATTTATTTTTATTTCTTGTATTAAAATTGTGTACATCACTTTTTATAGAAAACAAACAAACTAATTTTTACGAACGTACATTAAGTTCTCGTATATGTATTGAGAAGCAACAGTCATAATGTCTATTTCCTTAAATTTATCCCTTAAAGAGTCTCTAATCCTTAGATTATAAATTGATCGAATTGCTCTTTTCTGAAGCACAAAAATTGTTTGTATGTCGGCAGCATTTCCCCACAATAGGATTCGGTACGACATTACACTATGAAAGTAACTGAAGTATACTAATCTGGCAGTATCTATGTCAGTTAACCTACGTAGTTTACATTACGGTGTGGCTGTGGCACATCTGTTTTATAATCTTTGTCGACCACTCTGTGGCAACGTAATCTATGATATTTTTTATTTTGTAAGTGGCACTTCAACATCAACTAGTCTGAAAGTAAACTCATAACTGTGAACACGTTTATTTATTTTACCGATCCTTCGCATAAATAGAGTCAGATAGTAAACTTATCAATAAGTTAAATATCAACCTGTATATTAATAAATAAAACACATAACATTTCGGTAAAGTGGTGACCCAATACAATAAAAGAGAAAATAAACAACACTTGTTGTTTGGCAACCCCTTAATTAGTTATATTATTCACTTTTTCTGATATTTGTTATTACAGCGCCAACAGAAATACATCATCTATGAAAATTTAAATTGTCTAACTGTTACTATTCATGAGATACAACCGGGTGACGGATGAACAGACAGACGGACAGTGGAGTCTTAGTAATAGTGTCCCGCTTTATATCCATTGGGTATTCATATTTTAAACAAAGCTTACGATTTTGCAGCCTGTCTAAATAATAATATAAACATTTTTATTTTAGAGTTCCTATGTGAGACAATCACAGTGTCAACATAATTTAGGCGGTGTAGCGCTTCCAGTTTTTTTTTTAAATATTAAAACAAATAAAGTGATTTGTACATAAATGTTTTAATTTGGTCTTTCGACACGACAGTGACCAATAACACGAGGCCGATAGCGTCAAATGGTTCCTTAGCTAACGGCGTCTATGATCCTTAGAATAGTTAGGATTTGAACCCGATTAACTATCTGTGGTAGGTATATTTTTTAAGAGAAAGTCTCAAAGAAACGTAACACCAGTCAAAACGAACTGGAATATGAAGCATGGAATCGGTAGCCCTAGAACATAGTTTCTTGACTTTTTGTATGTCGCGACTCACGAAAAAGTCAAAAAGTTAAATAATAAGTCTTGCACTACACGTGCACGTCACTATAATATTATATTAATATGTACACGCTGTACACGGCACATCTCGCGTCGTGGCACATACCAAAGAACACAGAAAGACGTTAGAAGGGCCTTGTGGGCGTGGCAGTGTAGCCAAGATCCTGGACAAATGTACAGGATCGTGACTTCACCACGCGATCGCGATGTTGTGTTAAAAATGCCGACTTGCGCAGTTATTAATTGCAAATCAAGAAGCCCATCCTCAAGTAGGTCCAAAGGAAGGATTTCTTTCCATTAATAAGTAGAACACTTCTCGAATATAGTATTTTTAGTCGAAATTCGTGAAATGCTATCAAAAGTGTGAATCACAAAAATATTACCAAAAAAATATAAATATACGCACTTCTGCAAAGTGGCTAGTGAAGTGCCATGGGAACATTTAATCGATTCTTGGTATATTAGTTAGTAAAAACTAAATAAAAGCAAGACGATAAAAATAGTGGTAATAAAAGATAAATTTAATCAGAGATTAACAATAGCAATAAATAAAATGTTACCCTATTCTTGGCTACCATATTGACTTCGTTTGGTATTCGTTTCATATACAAAAATTAATAATGAGTGTGGTGTAGCGAAAGAATCTATTTTTATATTCTTAATATTGTAACAGAAAATTTGTTTTTTTTTTATTTTGAACTATTAACAAAAATACTTTTTAAATCATCAGAATCCGTTCGGGGTAAGTTCCAATACTAATTGTATTTTTTTATTTTGTATACATTTATTTAAATTATATTGTTTGTCAATATTACTAGTTTCATTTAAGCGATGTTGCCGATCTTATCTGTTTACTTGATACGAAATCGAGTAACGTAACGTAACAAAATTACCTACTATTATGATTTATAAACAAACATTATATATATATGCAAATAAATATTTAAGCATGAATTACGTAAATTAGACAAAAGAGTATTGGCGAGGCTGCATATGCAATGAGGCCACCGACTCATTGCACCCTCGAAGGAGTGCCGCCTCAGCGCGACGTGCCACGGACGTGCTGCCGCGTGACCATCGCCTGGACTATTAAAACCACCACTTCGTTTCTAACATCGAGCGGAGCCGATAGTCTTAGAAATACTATTGTAAAAAATATTGTAATCTTATTTAAATAAATTAGTTTAAATCTTTTTTTTCCGCGCGGTGTGTGGCCTTCGGGCCGATCCCGTGCATCGCCTTCCATTCGAGGGACATCGCAGTTTTAGTGGGTAAACTCCTGTTTCTTGTCTAGCCCCTTCGGGGGTGGGGTCACAGGAGGAGTCGAGGGAGGTGTAGCGGGTATGCGTAACGCCTTTCTCAGCGTCAAAAAAAAGTTTAAATCTTTTCGATTCTTTTAGGACCTACGGTCGCTACCTTCTTAATTCACGACTAGTACCGATTCAATGTTAGTTCATCATTAGAGAGTGATTTAAATATTTCTTACTGAATTAATCGACCACCCGACTAATCAACGATTAATATCTAAAAAAAAAAAGATAATGTCACATTTAATCGATACAATTCAATGTGTATCCAAAATAACATAAAGAAATCATTACTCCAGTATCTTTTCAATTATCGGCTCGCTGTTTTTCAATATCGATAGTAAATAACTTTATGTCAATCCCTAGCGTAATATGTCAGATTAAAATGGCTTCTACACGTTCGTTACGCTCTCTGTTATGGTTGAGCGTGATCGGTTATAGTTATATTGGAGAGTTCCGATTGGCATGTTTCATATAAAACGCAAATGTGTTCATATCTTTTGTATAATCGGTCTAACGTTTCGTCCGATGTACGGCGGACGGAAAGCGGGGCGAGACTGGCGACATCGGTTCTCGTACGAATTATTAATAAAGTCAGGTAAAAGCATTCTAATAGCCACAAAAAGTTCAATTAGCACCTTAAAGTGAACTTTTTGTGACTATATTACAATTGATATGCGTAAATCAAAATTATAATACGTTAATTTAATGTTATAAAAATGCTTACTGTTCTATTTCCTTTGTAAAAAATAGATTTTAATAGATTTTAAAAATATATAATCGGTTTAAGTTATTGTTTTGTGTAAGTGTCATGACATGTTCTCTTGGCTGGTCTATTAAGTATTTTTTAATATTGATTTAAACAGCTCGTTATGTGTGAAATAAGCTGCAAACATCAGTTTGTAGAGTAAAATATATAAGTTTATGGTGTAAAATACACGCGCCTTCGCAAACTTCCTTTAATATAATAAAAATAATAGAAGATTTAACCTTTTAAATTTTTGTTGAATTTTAGGCTTTTTAGCATTGTTTTAAGAACATAATTGGTTTTATAGGCATTTGTCCACAAAATGATTATTTACCCCTTTTCATCTGACACAGTTGACTTTAAATATTTTGTAAGAATTGGAAAAAGAAAGCAAATGGCGACTCGTATAATTAAAGCATTAGGTATTCAAATATAGTATAGTAGAGCTGTTGATCGTATTATGGTTAGACACAAAACTAAGAGCTCGTAATTCACCGCATAACACACTCCCATTTTAGGTACAGCCGTATTTTAACACTTGAGAAGTATCTTATAGTGCTTATAATCATCAAACGATTATTTCATTTTTATTTTGATTTTTAAAAGTTTCAATTAAATTAGAATACTCTTTTTTCAGTTTTCTTTTATATCCACCTGTTTTCTTTGTTTTTCCCAACGTTTTTTGTCCATGGTGCCAGCGATGCGTATAAAATGCCACCATTACAAAACAATACATAAAATAATTTAACATTTTAATTTCACATAAAAAATAATTACGATCTATTTATTACTCGTATCTCTATAAATAACTTAATATTGATCAAATATAACCTAATGTTTTATAAAAGCATAGATTCAGAAGATTAAGGAGCTTGAGCTTGATTAAAGAATACTTTAAGAACAAATCGGTGCTAAAGTTTTACTTGTTCTTTATTCGATGTGTATATAGGATAAGCATTAAATCGATACAACCGTAGGCCGTTAGAAAACCTTCGTTTCTAGAAAATGACTAAATAGAACTAAGTGCACTAAATAATATTACGTCAATGCTTATATAATATATAATGTTTTTCGTATAACCGAAATACGATAACAGCTTTATATTAATATTACCCAATTACTTAAGTAGGAGTTTTGACATTGGTATACTTTTTTTATTAACCATAATATGGCATCAAGCATTATTAGATAAAATAAATGCCTTTAAACAGATTCGAAACTTGAGCAGTGCTGATTAAAAATGTTAGTATGACTTTAGGACATGAATCGGTACTTATTTTAGTTAATATATTATTTATGTGCCACTCGGGGCGGAGATCGTTCGGTGGGGTCGTCTCTCCCTGAAACGGTCGAACGGTTCACTCGACTGACCTGTCGCGCCACGTGCATCCTGTTGAACAGGTTCCAGAGCAGCACCCCCACCACGCGCCGCTCGCGCACGTAGAACACGACGCCGCGCTCGTAGCGCCGCGCCGTCGCGTCCGCCGTGACGTCACCGCCCGCGGTCGCGTCCGCGTCCGGTGTGACGTCACCGCCCGCGCCCGCGCCCGCCTCGGCGGCGCGCGGCTCCGCCTCCGTGACCGCGTCCGCCGAGAACACGCCCACGGTGGGGAGGCGCGAGTCCACTATGCCGATGGCCTGAATCATAGAGGACGGCTTCGTTTTCGCCCGATCGCCCGACGGAGGGCGTCGCGTTCGGAGTCGACGAACGCGACCGCGGAGGCCGGCGTCCGAGACGGCACGTATATTGACGAGAGATCGATCCGGCGAACGTCCGATCGACTCTTCGAGGTCGCACCTCGACCTAAAATTATTCTATAGAAAAATTTTACCCGAAATAAAAAAAGTATCAAAAAATATCGACAGTTATTTTTACATAAAAATCTATAATTAAAAAATCGGGACTGATCCTTCGCCCTTTCGCGTGGACGTCGACGAGTCGGCGGATCGTCGCTCCGGCCGCTCTTTCGGGGAGGGTTCTCGAAAATACGGGAAGTTTTTTTGAAAATACGGGCGGGCGATTCCGTCGCAATATCGAGATGACCTTTAGGAACTCGAAAACTCGTCTCTGGCGTATCGATCGGATAGATCTCTCGCGACTCGCGCGGACGGTTCGTTTTGCGGATCGCCGCCCGCCGTTTCGGGGCCGCGTCGTCCTCTTTGAGTGAATGCAGATGCCCCGCCTCGAGGCGAGGGGGCGCTCACCTCGTATCCCAAGTCGGGGCCGAGGTCGCTCCAGAACATGGGCTGGTGCGTGTAGGCGCGCGGCGGCTGCAGCGCCGCCATGTTCTCGCCGGCGCGGCGGCCGGACGCCACGGCGTGGTCGTGGTGCTCCACGCGGCGGCGGCCCAGCGCCACGTCGTGGAAGCACGCGGCGTCGCCGGCCGCGTACACGCGCGCGCGCGCCTGCAGCTCCGCGTTCACCAGCAGGCCGCCGAGCGCCTCGCACGTCTCCAGGCCCGACGCGCGCGCCAGGCGCCCGTCCGCCTCGCTGCCCACGCACTCCACCACCAGGTCGGCCGACAGCGCGCGCCCGCCCGCCAGCTCGAGGCGCACGCGCCCCTCGGCCACGCCGCTCGCCAGGATCTCCGCTGCGGACAGGGACACGGGATTCGAAAATTCACAGGGCGCCCGGCGACTCGCCCCGGCTTCCCGGCCGCGCCCCGGACGGAGCGCGGGAAGCGGAGACCGATTCGGCCGGGGCGATATATATTCGAACGACGCGAATATCGCCCTCCGGATTCCGCCATTCGAACTTTCGACGAGGCGCCCGAACGAGAGAGGACCGTCGCCCGCGAAAGACGACCACGAGCCCCGAGCGCGTCGACCGCCCGGAGGGGAGGTCCCCGTCGACGAGCTCGCGGATCACGGGCGACGGCCGGCCAGGCCGCTCGGCGACGGATACGATTATTCTCAATGAAAAACGCCCAAAAAATCCACGCCGCCCCGGGCCGAACGAAAAATAGAAGCGCCCGCTCATCCGCCCGGGACACGAGTTCCCCCCCCCCCCGCCCGACCCAGTTTCAAACCACCCGGGTCCTCGATGTAAACCAAAAATATAGGAGGACCTAAAACTCTCGGTACGAGGTCTCCCGCCGTAGATTTACGAATCGTCGGCGTAGCTCTCGACTTTCACAAGCGCTCGTAACAGCCTAGACTGAATAAATGATTTTGATTTTGATTTTATGATTTTTGATTTTGCTCCCCGGAAGACCGAAAGAAATATTTCACAGGGCAGCACCGAAAACATCATCCATTTTTAGAAATCGAACCCGATCCTCTAGATGATTCGCTTTTAAAAAACTCAAATCGAACTCCTCTTCCACCCGACGATAAATACTGAAACCGGGCCAAAGGCTTCGGCTCGATCTAGAAATATACCTATTGTCCGATCACCCTCATCGAGTTCCCGTGCTAAACGATCTGCGAGTTCGTGCCCGGCGTCCACGACAGAGGTTTCAAACAGATTTTTTGATAATATAAACCGTATCTCTAAATAATTAATAAGTCTAATGTAATTTTTTTTTTCTTATATTTTAGATATGGATAGAAGCAACGAAAAAGGTCTATAATTCATTACCCGTTTCTTCCTCCCATATTTGGAATAACAACGGTATATTTTTCATAAGAAAGGCATGAGCTTTACGTTTAAAAATAAATCGATCGGGAGATCTTCCGATGGGTTCAGGGAGACTATTCCACAGTCGTACGGCTCGAAAGGTAAAAGTCGAAAATAAAGTAGAAAGTGAGAGTGTGTTAGAAGAACGAAGTTGTCGATCATGCGAATCGCAAAGATACTGGAATTTACATTTCAAGTGATCACTCCTGATTAGGAGAACACGGATTGGAGAGAACAGAAAAGAGTGTGCAGTGCAGACGTAACTGTCTCCGCTGACGTACAAGCAGCCATTTAGGCTGAGACCGATAGTAAGAAACATGATCATATTTCATAATGCGCATAATCAATGAGTGGTAGAATAAGGGAGAGTGACCTTAGTTTTAAGAGACAGAAAATTCCTTAAACAATTATCTTGTTTCAGGAATTTTCTATTTTCTTTTTGTGACTATTGACTAACCTCCGCCACCTGTGTTGTCCCTTTCAGCTCCGAATCATTATGAATCAATATGATATATTATCCCAACTAACCGCAGAATCATTTTTTAAACTCATGATGGTTCTTTGAACCTCAGATTCATCTGTATCTATTAGTTGCAAGAAGATGACACATGCGATTGACTTTGAATTTTTTCGTATTTGTAATGTTGCAACGTCAGGCTCTACTTTGATTAGTATACGATTACAGTCTGAGATATTCGGTTCCTCAACAGAAAAGATTTTTAAGTTATTAACATATACGAATAATATTTATGTTGAAAGGTTGTGAATTCATTTTTTTTTTTTTTGTAAATCCTGCATAAATTTTGTGTTTGTATTGTAAATGTATTGTGTTATGAAGACAGATGAGGTTTGCATATCTCAATGTTGCAAATTTTTTATTCGAATACAGAGAAATTAAGTCTGAAATTAAATTACTAAAACTACCAGCCATAATGTTATATCAAAGAAACTTCCGATCTTTGGTTATTAAGGCCTTATGTTTTTGTGCTGGAATATCTACAATGTCGTGCAGGTCTCGATGTTTTTCTTGCCAGACTTATTGCGGTAGTTGGAAAAGAATCGAGTTTTATGCCTTGAATCTCATATTTGTATTTTATTGTAAGATGCATTCCGATAATAACTATTTTGATAGTAAAGCCAGATGTAAACTTCGCCAACCGTTTATATTCACACCGCTATTTCTCATCATCCGTAATCCTCTTACATGCAGCTTCAATTGTTCAGGTCTTATTATTTTTTGTGCGATGGTTTTAGTTTATTCGCTCGATTTGGTTTTATCTGTAGGATAAATGGCTACAGGGTTTATACTTTTGGGCTGTATAAAATTAAAAGAGCTCTGTTTAACCATATCGGCGAAAGAAATTCTTCCCGTTGCCGGTTTTTCTTCGTTAGTCTCCTTGATTTCGCGAAGCAGTTCTGATAGATCATACTTTCTATATAATTGTAGAGCCATATTGGTCTGGATGTTCTTCTGCTTGAGCGATCGGTGTCGCACGGCTGAATGAGAAGTTCCATGGCTAACTTTACGGCGTAAATTATTGATTTTTAGCTTCCGTTCAGAATTAAGTTTTCCTTCAGACGAAATAGTACAAACCTCATTGAGGTATCGTTCAGAGTAGTCGTCTACTCATGAATTTCAGCAGGAGAGAGCACTTCCACCTTGTGGTTGCGCAGGCACGATTTAGCAAGTGAACGTTATTGACACGTCCCATCGCAACGAAGGCTCATTCGTATAGCCTTCGTTGCGATGGGACTATATCTATACTAATATTACAGAGAGGGAAGACTTAATCGTTTGTTTGTTTGCAACGAATAAGCTGTGAAACCGCTGGACCGATTTAAAAATCGCTTTCACCTCCTGAAGCTACGGTGAACGTTCTATTCGATTTGTCATCGTAATTGTATTCGTGTTATCGAGTCGTGTATTCGAATGCCACTGAAGTCGGGCAGTCACTCACCGTCGGGCAGCAGTCGCACGCCCGCCCGCCGCAGCCGGCGCGCCGCCTCCGCCGCCAGGTAGGGGGGCAGCACGGCCGCCATCGGCGCCGCCTCGCGGAACACCTGCGTCACCGACGCCGCGCCGCCTTCGCCGCCCACTGCCGACCGAAACGTACGATATCACCGTAGGTCCCGCTGCTAATAAAACATCACCTATGCGACGACGGAGACCGCGACGGGTATCGAAAAAAGATGGACGGGGAAACTAGAGTTACACATTCGGACCGATTCGTGTGCACAGATCTTTGCAAACCTAATAAGATTCCTACAAAACTAGACAGCGCTCGTCGCGTAATAAAATACATAAATAAAAATGGCCTTCATACATCGATCGACTACGAATTTAATCTACATTCTATCGACATCGGCCTCTCGATCGGGCTCGCCTCTGATATAGGCCTCCTCCGGGTTCTCCCACCTACTTCTATCACTACAGATTTTTCTCCAATCTTTCGGCATGTATTCCTATTCGTCTGTTCTCCTCCTCTTCTTTTTCCATTTCATGAACACCATTCCGTGATCTGTTTTGTCCGTTTATTCCTATTCGATCTCATCACGTACCCAGTCCATCGCCATTTGAGTATTTTTACCCTACCAATGGCATCTTCCACTTTCATTATTTCTCAGGTCTCGAGGCGCCATCATGACAGTGTTATACCCAGCATGCCCCTTTCAATCCCTTTTTGACACACTTTTATTTTTGTATCGAATATTTAGCAACCATAAGTTGGAACCGGGACATTGCATGTTTTCCCATTTGCAAATTTTTTCTTTGGTTATTTTTTCACAACTTCTTGCTTTTCACTCCCAGTCGTTGTTAACTCTTCTATGAATTTCTTCTGTAATTTGATGATTGGCTGCGTTAATTTGGCCCAAATATATATATATTCCTCCACATATTCTACCTCTCGATATCCGATTAGAAGTTGGGTTTTGTTTCCATTGCTTTTCTACTCTCTTCATCTAGTTGAACGAGCACTGTTCGTAACGTTGACGGGTCTTCTGCAAATAATGCTAGGTCATCTGCAAATCGTAGATGATGCATCACGCCCCATTTATATTGATTCTATTGTACCAGTTCAACACTTCTTCCAGTACAAGTGTAAACAGTTTTGACGATAGAGGTCCCCCTGTGGTACGCCTTTTTTGACTCTAAATTCATCGCCTCATTTTTCAAATTGCACTTTGGAAATGCTGTTTTTATATATCTGTTTTATGAGCCGGATACGTTTGCAGTTCACCCCTTGTTTCTGTGATGCTTTGTATATGAAGCTGTACTCTAAGGAATCTAATGCCATATTGTAGTCCCCGAATGCAATGTAATACGCTTTATTTGTCACATTTATTGTTATATTTTGTCTATTAATTGTTTTATTACATGCATACGGTCGACAGTGGAGTCGCTGCGAAATCCGGCTTGTTCAATGGGTTTTTGTTCGTCTAGCACTTTAGCTAGCCTTCCTAATATGATTTTGGAAAAGACTTTGTATAAGTTTGGCATTAGGCTGATGAATCTATAATTATCAATTTTATTTTTTATCTCCCTTATGTGTAAGGATTATTGTCGATTATGTCCATTGTTGTGGTATCTGTTCAGTATAAATTATTTCATTAAAAAGGTTTGTAAGTGGAATCTCTATAATATCTATTCTGTTTTTCAGAAATTCATTCTTTATTTTGTCATCTCCTGGCGCTTGTGAACTTTTTGAGTGAGTATTGCTTTTCTTGTTTAGCTTGGTAGTATTTCCGCTCGTCCTGAGAAAAGGGAACTCCTCCTCTTCTGAACTGTTGTCACTTTTAGTTCCCTGTAGAAATCTATAGCTATTTCTCGTATTTTTGATCGATCGCCTGTTGCAGCATTTTATGTATTTGCGTCTTTTTTCGGTTATAGGTTTGGTAACCAAGTTGAGTGTTCCGATGGTTTTCTCATTGCTTTCTAGATGCCATCTGTTTTGTCAATATCTTTTTTGATTGTGTAAATCTACTTAATTGTTTGTTTTTAATTTTTTTCAGATGTCGTTGGTTATAGAACCAAAGACATTTGCAACATATAGATGTTTTGTGTTATTTTTAATATCGTTCAACATACTTCTTTTTCTTACCTTGCTTATTCTTCTACTCTATCATTCTTTCTTTCCACTACTACCAGACTTTTGCAAGTATTTGTCGCGGTCATTGTAATTTTCATTAATGATTTTTTTGTCCTCATATCTGGGAATGATTAATAGAGTTCTTGAAGTCTTTCTTTTGATAAACTAATTGTGCTGTGGGGTAGTCGGATTTAAGCTCTTCCTTGATCTTTAAAGTTTAGTTGATGTTATGGTTCCTCTTACCATTCTGTGATTTGTGTTAAAATTGAGTTTGTTAATTATGTCTACATTTGTGAAGTGATTTGGTATGTTTGTTAAAATGAGGTCTATCTCGTTTCTATAGGTGCCATCAGGCGAGATTCAAGTCCATATTCTGTCTACTTTCTTCTTGTAGAAACGGTTCATGATTTTTAAGTGGTACTTTATTGCTATATTTGTCACATGTTTTGTTCATTTTGTGGAACACCCAGTTTGCTATTGCTAGTAGTACTAGTATAATTTTCTTTAATGTGTTTTTTCCATCATTTCTTTTAGAATTCAGTAGAATTCTTCTTTATCTGTTTCTATAGCTTGTTCTGTCGCTACGTAGACTTGAATTGTGGATATTGGTTTTGGGATTTCTATCTGACTTACCCGAATACTCTTCGATGTGTTCCTTGTGTATTTTTTGTACCAGAAAGCATACATTTCTTGTTTTTTACCATAATGTTAGAAAATGTAATCGTTATATTCTTTTATTTAAACGCTAAGAAGGATATAATGATTACATTTTCATAATGTTAGAAAATGTAATCAATATATCCTTCTAAGCGTCTCACTTCGCAAAGTCCGATTACATCATTGCATTACGTCTATTGTCCCACGGGCAGCAGTTGGATTGGGATATTTAGTGCTTGTTGTATATGTTTTGCTGTTCTTGTTATTTTTCCAGTTGTCGATGTCTGTTAGTTGCTGATGTTTGGTATCGTACTCGGGATTAAACCGTATCGATTACGTTCGGTGCTCTCTGTAAATTGCATTTCAGCAAAAAAAAACTCAGATGTACGATTGAAAACTTTCGGTCGGTTTGAAGTGACCGCGCGTGACTTTTTTTTTTGGAGCTCACGATGCCTCGTTCTGTCGTAGGTGTATCGTCAAATTTCTAACAAATTCTATGAACGCGTAAGAGAAACTGAAACATATTTATCTCTGTACGAAAAAATGTTGTGGTTTTTTTCTCGAAAAATATAAGTCTGGGATTTTTTTTTCGTACATAAACTCGCTAGGTTTCCGAAGATCTGTATGCACAGAAAAAAATCAAAACTGAAGCGCGACCGTTGCGTGTTCCGTTGAAAGAAACTCCCGCTTCCGATCGAAAATTGCGTAAGGCCGCGGGGGACCGCGCGGGACCGAAGTTCGGGACGTTTCGTTCTGTGGGAGGTGTGGGGTCGAGTCTCTGACGGATTCGATCGATCGAGCCGAGAACGAGGACTGACGTCTTTCGGCGAGCGCGGCGCCGAGCTCGGAGGCGAGGAAGCCGCCCCCCGCGACGACGACGCGGCGCACGTCGGGCTCGGCCAGCGCGCGGGCGATGCGCGCGGCGTCCGCGGCCGTGCGCAGCTGCAGCACGCGGCCGCCGCCGCGCGCGCCGTCCAGCGCGGCCGCCGCGCGGGGCCGCACGCCCGTCGCCACCAGGCAGCGGTCGTACTCCACCGCGGCGCGCTCGCCCCCCTCCACCGCCTCCAGCTCGGCCGCGCCGCGCTCCACGTCCAGCCGCACGGCGCGCCACCCGCGCGCCACCGCCGCGCCGCCGCCGCCCTCCGCCAGGCGCGCCACCGGCGCGTAGAACGCCGCCGGCTCGTACGCGAGCGCGCGCCGCCGCCCGTTCCACTGGCGGAAAGTGAGATCGTCGAGGCGCCGCGCCGCCTCCGCGAGGTCCGGCTCGCGCCACAGCTCCTTGCCGAGCGGCGGGCGCATGTACGGCAGCGCGACCTCCTCGCCGACGATCAGCACGCGGGCGTCGGGCCGCGCGCCGCGGATCGCCCGCATCGCCGCGAACGAGGCGGTGCCGCCGCCGACGAGCAGGTACTCCACGCGCTTCGGGAACTCCGCACCGGTCGCGGGCTCCGGCCGCCCGCGGGGCTCCTCGCGCGGGACCGGATCCGCGGGCGGCCCGGGCCGGCGCGCCTCCTCGTCGCGCCGGCCATAGTAGTACGCGCCGCCGACGGAGGCGGCGAGCGCGAGCACGGCGGCCACCGGCCAGCCGCGGCGCGGGGGCGACGGCGGCGGGGGCGGAGGCGGGGCCGCCCCCGATCCTTCGGCCCGGGCGGAGCTGGGGCGTCGCGTCTCCGGCGGTCCGTCGTCCCTCGTCAACACGATCTGACACGAAATAGATCAGTCGTTAAACTTCTCCGACGCTCGGTGAATTTTGGACTCCCGGGCGGGCGCCTACCGATCGGCCCTCTCCTGTAGTATGTACATATGTAACGGCAGGGACGGCCGCTGATCGCTATCGAGATTGTCATAGATTTCCTTCTCCGGAAACACAAACTTCTTTAAGTTTTTGGGCAAACAGCTCTGCTTTTTCTGCAAGTTTCCTTTCACAGTTCCAGTTGTCTTAACAGAGGTGTGGTCTTTTTTTTCATAATTTCATCATTTTACAGAGTGAGTCTTCTCAATCTTCATTTTACAGTTATCATATTTCCAGCATATAGTCACATATTTATGACATGTACTCAATATGCAGATAAGATAACCAGGCAGCTAGTTGTATAACGTTAGTAGTATACCAGGCAGTATTTTCTGATTTTTCCTATGTTTTCCTGTATGTAGTCTTGGAAAGACCTCCAGTCTGTTGTGATACTGTACAATTTTTCATTTAACTCTTTCCATGGTTCCATGGTGCTTAACACAGAACATAGAGAGAGAATAGAAGTATAATGATATTGATTTAGTATGGGAACCGAGTGTCGCCTCTCCGCACACAAATACAGATTAGATGA